CACGCCTGTGATAATTAATTCTTCAGCTTAATGGTTTTCTTTCAAAGAAATCGTAATTATGTATATGTATTTTCTTTTTCATTACAAATTATCGTATTTTTAAGTACTACTCTTTATATTCATTATTATTATTTATAATAGTGACTATTATTCATTTGTCCTAATATCCTAAGTATTCTTTTTGACATTGACAATACGAATTAAATATTGTAATATTAAGTTCATTTAATATCACGATGTTTTACTACTACGATATTCAATTATTTTTTTATGAAATTACTCCACAAGTTTATTATAACTTTTTTTATAATATCCAGTGACGGAACGAACAAGTCCTGCGCCTGATGGTTAGCTACACGCCTGTCCGTAACAGTTGCAATGCCACTCAGAGCTTTAAATCGCAAAGATCTGAGGGGCACTGCCACTGCGTGCCTGTAATTTCACCAGCACCCTTACCTTTCAAACCCGGAACACAGTAATGCTGACATTACTGCTTGGCGGCAGAAATAAGTAAGGTAGCAGTACTTCCCTGGACGAACTCTTTCACAAGGAGCACTACTGCTGCAAAAAAAATACAAAGATCATAGACAATGATAGACGCTCAGCCAATGTATATAATAAAATTAATAAAGAATTACGTATATTAAAAAAACCTATTATAAATGCAAAAACATATTATATAAGTGGTTGAAATTACTTAACTATGACTCGCTTCTGAGATCCATAAAGTATTATTCCCAAATATACACTCATACACATTCACCCACATATAGCTCACTCACTATAAATTCACACATTAAATATTAATGCTACACATACAACTCAAAATACACTACGTGGTTTGGTACTGTATTCTCTTCATAGATAATAAATATTAAACACCATAAATATAAAAAGTTATTTTAGTTTAGTTAAAAAATAATATTCAAATTAATTTAAGTTTTGAAATGTTTAAATATTTTTAATAAAATAAGTTTATACATTAGAAAGCTATGGTTATGGAAGAGCGAAGTCTATCACAGGCATTGCTATGCTTAAAAGGAGACTCCTGATACTATGATTATAAAATGTAAAAAAAATGACAAATTCCTTCGACTGACGCTCTCCTAATTGAGTTTCGGCACGAACCAGCACACTTTACCAATTTTGTATGTTTGTTTGTGAAAAATCTATGAAATAAATATTGTCTATCTAACATAAAATGAGATTAAACTTACTATGAAACTATTATACTATAACCCTCTAATGACATGTAGCTTACTTACGGAATTAGGGGTCATGAAGATAGATATTGAGGACACAAATTCATTATATAATGTAGGGATACATTATAGACTACAAATTGTGAAGACGTTAACGCGTTGTGTTAGGTGATTAGTGTTGGCAATTAATTGCCAGTTAATCCATTAAGTATACGCATTTTAGCGCCTGTTACGTGAAAATTACTGGTTCCTTTACTAAATGAACCTTGAATGTAGTCTCAATCAGTATACCTAAATCTCGCATAATGCATCGCTAAACTTGCTTAATGACGCACCTTACTTCGCAGTTCACGTGGTAGTGACACAACAGGTTTGCAAAATAATAGCTTTACTTTGTATATAACTGCTCGGAACTGTATTGTATTATGTGTATTTGTTAATTTTTTGTGTGTTCTTAACCATTATGGGCTATGACGGAATATAATATACTACGATAGGAATATATAATATTTTACATTTTTTTGTTTTTATATCAATAGCTTTGACTCTTTCGGATTATTTATTTTAATAAAATAGGTAAAGGTTTTTAAGGGATATGAGATTGTACTATTATATGTTGTGTATATAATTCTTAGATTTTGTCATTGACAGACGATAACCAGAAATAGAGACAAAATGTCATTTAATTTGTTTGAAAACTATTCTGCCTTAACATTACTGTGACAACTCCGCCCGATTGGCTAGCCCGAGTTGGAAACAATTGACGGGTGTCGTCAATGGGTGTCGTCAACTGTTTCACTTCAAACGACCAGTTAACTTGAACTTTACTATAATGGACGAAAATTGCAAAATTACATATTTAATATTTCATTACCGATGAAATGTGATACCGTTTGTTTTGTAACTAGATGTTTTGTTGTTTTTCCCACACCACCGAAAAGAAAAGCACGGCATTGTTAGAGATATTATCATTATTACAATAAATTCACAATATCTTTTGGAATATACGGAGACGTACACACAGGTCAATAGTTGGCCTGTCTATATTTTAGTACAAACGGGAGTTGATATTTATAAGAGCTGTATCGCTAATGTGTTCCTGGAATATATGGCCCTTATTTCGTCTCTATTTCTGGTTATATACTCGATGGATTTTGTAGATTGCTCCACAATAAACAAATGCCTATACGCGATAAAGATTCGAAAAAATAGTTCTATGTTGTTTTACCATTAGTATGTATTTTCTTTTATTGTACGTCAAATAACATAATTTTGATCGACTTTTCGTAGAGCTCTATAATAGTAGCAGTAGAGAGTTCAGGGAAGTACTGCCACTTTACCTATTTCTGCCGCCAAGCAGTAATGTATTACCACGTTCTGGTTTTGAAAGATAAGGGCGCTGGTGAAATTATAACACACATGGGTCTTGTCAACTTGAGTCTCAGCAGTCCTATTCATTTTAAGTAGCAGATTACCTTAGCACATGTTTTATATCAATAAATCAGTTGTCTTTCAGCACTCACCTCGGTCGTTTGTAATTATCATTCTTGTCCGACCATATATCGTATCATATCATATCATATCATATCATCTTATATCATTTTTGATCATATATCATCAAAGTAATGTAGCTAACTACAAGGAGAATATAATCGGTTTTTGTTTCCACGAACAAACTCATTTAGGTCCGTTTTTGTCGCTTTAAATTTTATTACACCTTTCTAGCGTATGTGTTACTCCGGCCCCCCCGCTATCCAGGTTAGAGGAAGGCGTTTAATCACGATGTTCCCCGTTCATTAAGTCAGCGGCAAGCATTTTGTCACATGTCTCTGAAATGCTAATTTGTCCCTGCACACTCAATATAGACATGTACACTCAGCCTTTGCTTTTGCCCTCCTTTTTCCAACAAGCTCTACCCTATTCAACTAAATTGTTTGTTTATGTTGATTTACCCATGAAACGCGTGTTCGTAAATTGAATTTTCGGTCAGCGGAAAGATAAAAATGAGGTCTAATGTTTGTATGATAAATTGTCGTTATATCTTCTAGATACGAAGTTGTACGAAGCAAACATAAATGAACAATAATTACCAACAGCTCCCTAAGTCGACAGCTCTTCCAGCGTATAAAATTTAAACTAAGCGGAACCCTCGTCAAATTATAAGGGGAGATTAACCCTAAGCACTCGCTTGCCAGTTTTAACTTTATTACTTTTAGTTTGTCTTTTACTGAATGTAAATTGTAGCATTGGCCTTGCTATATTAAATTACCAAAACTACAACGGTGTTACTTAAGCTCACATATTGTAGAATGACCCTCATTAAATTTATATATATAATGAGGGTCATTCCTAGTGCTTATATTAGGTTTAATACGTGTGAAGGTATTTATTTTATTAACAAAATTGGGAACGTCGTTAATTTGAATCGCTAAAGTATGAAGAGATATTGCGTTGCTTGTTTATTTCGGTATTAGGGACCTAAGTGTATAACTAATAATAATAATAATCCACAGCCTGATTTTACCCGCTGCTGGGTATAGGCCTCCTGAAGCTTGTGCCATCCATCGAGGTTCTGTGCTAGCCACAACTACTACTATGTCGTCGACCCACCTTGCAACTGCGACGCTTCTTTTGTCCATATTCGGCCACTACCTTTAGTCGACGTCTTGCTCCACCTCGTCTTGCTATGTGCCTCGCCCAACCCCATTTGAGTTCCATAATCCGAGTTCCAGCATCCTGTACTTTCGTCCGTCGTCGATTCTCAACATTCGGAACTTGGTCTACGAGGCTGATGATATTGAATGAGGGTGATATGAAAATGAACATAAGATAAATATAGAAAATTTATCGACATGATATTTGGCCGATTATTCGATTATTATAGTCAATTAAAAATTTTATAAACAATAAATAAAGTGTCAATTACTTGGTCTCAAAGTAAGGAATTCCCTGTAGGTCCACTATGAGTATCAGGACAACGGAATCACTCCGGGACACACCCAAAACATCCAGACCAAACCAGTTTAAAAAGTTCATTTCCCTAATTCATCCTACCGCGAACCGAACCCGGGACCTCCTCATCCAGCGTCCACAGTGCAAACTGTAGTGCCACCGAGTTCGTCAAAAGTGTATCGTTACATAGCTAAAATGAGTGTGTCCCGAATAAAGGAACCTTCCTCCAAAGTCCTACGAAAATGGAGGGATCATGAAAATGATATCAAAATGTATTTAATTGTGCCACCTAGTACCTAATACATATACATAGCATCTTTTGTTTCTTTTTTTAACAAACACACTCATACCCCGCACTATGGAGGTGGTATGAACACACGCATAGACTGCTACAAATTACAAATGTAGACAATACAAATATTTCTTCCGGCTCAGGAATCGAACCCGGGATCTCCGAGTGGCAGTAAAGCATATAAATCGTTCGGCTACGGAGCCACGGAAGCAATTACAAATATTAGTTAACCGTAGTAAACTAGGTTCTACAGTATTTTATTACTTAAGAGCACTACCGCAAATTCTAGATTTTGAAATTACGTATATGGTTTGATATGCGTTGTTTTTTTATTGCCTTTTTATCACATTTTATTCATAGGTAAATTCCGTTGTTTACTATATTTACAAGTTGAATTTTCAATAATAATATTTTAAGCAATGTTATGATTATAGTATATTTCATAGCTATTACCATTTCCTTGAACATGACGCTGCCTGTGTTGTATAATAAAAAAAAACAATGCTTAACGTGAGTTATATAAAGATAAATAACATTATTTTATTTTGTTTCAGATGATGACAAGAAGCTATTGCTTGCTATAAAGTGCACACTGGGTAAGAAAAAATCTTGAGAACATATTCTATTTCTTTATTCCATGTTCGTCCACAATCCCCGGTGGAAAATAAAGATGTGGACGATGTTTTTACATCCTTGGATATAAAATGCCAGTTCACTCTAAATTTAAAAATATCCAGGGTTGGATCAATCGAGTGACAGTGGTTTTTTAAACAAGCCAGTGGTCATTCAGACGTACTGCTGATTTAAGCGCTAACTGCCTCTGTGGCCAAACGGTCATCTTGCTGGACTGCCACGCAGATGTCCCGGGTTCGATTCCCGGGCCGGGAGTAATATTTGTATGGCCTACATTTATTTCTCTCGTGAGTTTGGGTGTAATTTGTGGTTGTCTATGCGTTAATTTGTGGTTGTCTATGCGTGTGTCCATGGCACCCGCGATACAGGGTTACCCTAGTGCGGGGCTATGAGTGTGTATAAAAAAAGTAAGTTGATATATTTATTGGATCAAACGTCACTGGATTCCAGCGTTGGATTGGTAATCGTTTTTACTGTTCTACTACAGAAAACGATGAGCATTTTTCATCTTGGTTGTCCAATCACAATTGCAAATTGCTAGTACAACTAGCGTGCAGTCTGTGTGCCGTCGCTATTCTATCTGTGTGCTGTCGCTATTCAATCGGCGTGCCGTCTCTATTCAGTCTGGATCTGGCGCCGACTACATCCGTACTTTAAAAGGTTTCTAATTTCATCCCAAATGCTATTTCGCAGTTACAATGCAGTCGAAACTCGTGTGCCTACTTTATGGGTATATTGAAAACTAAGCAGACACAATTGCAATCGTCTTCACAAAGTCATAAAAACTCGTCTATAACAAAATTTCCGTTGATATTCAAAATTTGCCATTTACGATGTTTAAAATTGTTGTGAAACAGAAACTTTATTCAAAGGGTTATTTATTACACAGCTTTTACGTGCTTAGAAGATAAAAATTTATGTTAGTGATCTATTTAGCTCTGTAAGTTTTCTATCTATGATATATCAAATAAATATTGTAAATGGGAACAAATGTCTACAGACAAAGAACAATTCCTAGAGTTTTTTTTTTTCATTCCTCACAGGTGAATCTACCTTACAACTGAGTATTTCCAAGTGTATTTTGCTTATCTATAAAGATATTTTGCATGTATCTATGTATCTTAAAGACAAACGTGATGGTTTGTATATGTAAAAGACTGAGGGTAACATGTCTTTATGTTAAAAACAAACGACTAAACCAGACCGTTACCTAAGACTTCACCGGCCTTATAAGGTGGGCACACAGACACACTTTCACCATTCCTTATTCGTATGGATTTATACATTTCATATCCTCTTATAATTTGAAATACGTTTTGTCGACTTTTTATTTATGAGGTTAACATTAATGTTTATGTGGTTAATTAAGATATAACGTTGGATAACGTTTCAGACGTCGAAACCGCTAAATTGGTTTACTTCAGCTACTTTCACAGTTTAATGGCACACATTTTGCTTTGGGGTGATACCGCCAATATTAATAGAATTTTTGTCCTGCAAAACGTGTGATTAGGGCAATTTACAATATGGCCCCAAAGGGCCTTTGAGAGATAAGTTCAAAGAAATAAAAGTTCTTACACTAGCATCTCAGTAAATTTATGAAAAATAGTGTGAGACAATATTAATATGAAGAATAAAAATAAACTAGCTGTTCTTCACAGTCGCCTTTACAAAGTCGCAAATGCATTTAAGGGGCATTGTAAACGCTTTTATAATAAGATTCCGTTTGATATACAAAATTTGCTATTCACGAGATTTAAAACTATTGTGAAACAAAATCTTTTTACTAAAGGTTTATTATATAGCTTCTGCGTACTTGTTGACAAAATCCCTGGTGACCCATTTAGGTATTGCAGGTTATCTCAATCTATCATATTTGAAATAAATATTGTTAATGGTAAATGTTTGTTTAGAAAGGCAACCTTTAGAGTTTCTAGCTCATTCTTCTCAGAGGAATCTACCTTACGAATGAGCAGTAGAGTTGAATGACGATTTCAAATGTCATTTCCTTACCTATGAAATAAAGATTATTAATTTGACTTTTTTTATAATACCGAGTGCCGGGACAGACGAGGCGTGCAGATAGAGCAACAGCTATCATTTGCAGTGCCATTCAGAGCTTTAAATCGTAAATTATTATGAGGGGCACTGTCGGTGTGCCAGTCACCCTGAGACGTAAGTTGACAAGTCTTATGTGCCTGTAATTTCACCAGCACCCTTACCCTTCAAAACCAGAACGCAGTAATGCTCATAAAAAGACGTGCGTTTCGTATTGCCGCCCCGAACAGAAGCGGTAAGCGCAACGTCATTTTCGCTGTTATTGCATGAACAAATGGTCTGCTTAAAGGTAAACCACATAATTGACTATTTTCCACAAAAAAATCTCCAAATTATGTGCCTGTTTTTAGAAAATCACCATACTTCAGCATATAAAACTCTTATTAAGTTTATAATAGCTTTTTTGTTATTGAGTTTTACGAGCAGAATGATTTTCGAACCATAGTTAAATAAAGACTTTTTGTTTAAAATATCACCGCGTAAGTGTGGTGATTGGTAAAAGCTGCCTATCCAGATAAATGGAGGATATCTACTTTTTTTTATACATTTTTAGAGCAGAAGATCTCCTTGTCAAAGAGTTCTTCCAGGGAAATACTGCCACCTTACCTATTTCTGTCACCAAGAGGTAATGTGTTTCTTTTTTTTTAAAATAAATATTAGACAACATCACATATGTTATTCTAAGGAAGTAACTTAAGCACCTGCGTTATGTAAATCGGAAACGACGACAGTATCACAAACACACAGACCCACACACAGAATAAGTTTGTTTTTTTAGGGACCCAGGGATAGCGACATCATGAAAACCGGTATGCAAGCCACTCAACCAAATGTACTACGTGAGTGCGAATGATGATGGTGCGAGGACGGTTGCGTGAAAACTAAAATGCGCGATAGTTCATTTGCGCGAATTGTCAGTTGCGCGAAGGCTTGAATGCGCGATAGTTCATTTGCGCGAATGACGATAGCACGAAAACAGATTTGCGAAAGCACTCCCGAATAAACTTTTAATAAACGTATGGTTAAGTATAAAAGCTTTGCATTGCAAAGAATTGCAACAACCTGCAGCCATGGGAGTCAAATCTGTCTTCGTGCTATCGTCATTCGCGCAAATGTACTATCGCGCATTCAAATTTGAGCGCAACTGACCATTCGCGCAAATGAACTGACGCGTATTTAACCTTTTGCGCAACTGGCCATTCGCGCAAATGAACTATCGCGCATTTAAGCTTTCGCACAACCATCTTCGCACTATCGGCATTTGCACTCACGTAGTACATTCGTTAACACCAGGCTCACGACTGTTCATCCTGTCGCTTGGTATAACAAATTGAAACCGAAACGCAATAAAATTCACTTTACTGCTAGGCGGCAGAAGTACGTAAGGCCATACTTCCCTGGGCGAAATCTTTCACAAGGAGCTCTACAGCTACTTAATATGGTTGACGGTTTGTAGTGTTATCAGTATTAAAGGCTCGGTTGTTGTTTGCTCCTAAGTATAGTAGAAAAGCCGTGAATCTTCCATTAAATTTATAAAGTAAATTACTTTAAGGTACATTGTTATTCGTGCTCGTGAATACAATTAATTATCGACCCCAAAGAAAGTAGTAATAGCTTCGCTGTTATATAAATTTCTTTCACAACTATAAGACATTCTGAATGTACAGTGAACGGACCGATGAGCTTTGAAACGTCTTATCATAAGTAGCATATCGTTGGATCCTAAATGTAAAGGGAGAAGTGCCGTGGGCCGTGCAATAACAAGGAAATAAACACATCATACACAAGTTTCATATATGTATGATATTCGCAGAAGCTTCGCTGTCGAGCTCTTACAGCTAGGCTTAGGCACATTCAGTATTATAGTCTAGATCCGCCTAACAGTATTAACTAACTCTCGTGGCAAATCACCTGGATATATAGGTCATGTAGGCTGCTCATTGTTTAGTTTAAATGCGTAATGTTAGTTCAGATTTATACGACTATTCTGCAACTTAATTGTAGAATGCATTTCAATGCCACTAAAAGAGAAAATTCTTTGTTTTGTTTTGCAAAAGATCACTTAGAGGAGATCAGTGCCCAGCAGCGAAATCCAATACTTCTTTTTTATGGTGCTTTATTTTGGTTAGACTAATTGCGCATTTGAACTCCAACTCACCTGATGGAAAATGACGATGAGATCGACGATGGAGCATGCACACCAATTTTTTTTGTGATACTAAGTGATTGGACGAACTAGTGTGCCTGGTCGTACACACCGCCACTCCATAACAGTTGCAGTGCCAGTCAGGGCTTTAAATCGCAAAGCTCTTATAGACACTGCCACTGTGCCCGTCACCCTGATACATAAGACACTTATTCACTCTCGCCTTGAGAAAGCCCAATTTATAGCGTTCAAGGAATATGTCTGCTGGTAAAGAATTCGCCTCTATTGCCGTTCGCCATACAAATGTGAATCTCTGAAATATCCACCACAACATTTCAACAAATTTTGCGGGTGATAAAGTTTTAACGCAATCGACTGAATAAATAATGGAACGTATACGTGTCCCGTATGCGCACAACCATTCAATTGTCTATGGCGAAATTAAGAAAAATTTTATGATTACGATAATGAAATTGTATCGGGAATTCTCGTACATCATTAAACGTGTATTGTAACGTGTTGACAGCAATGGCAAATTTAGCTACATATACCTTAAGAAGTTGGTAAATCGGGGAACAGTACAGTGTATAAAACACTGTACTGTTCCCGATTTACCAAGTTTCATTTGATTTGGAACAAACGAAACGCCTATTTCATCTAACTATCTAACCTGTGCGTACAAAGTCCACTTTCTCGTACAAAACGCCTGGCTGTTTTGTCCGACGAGTCAAGCTTGCCAATCGCCCGTGTTCGTAGCAT